TCCTTACCTAATCAATCATTTCAACTCTATTTCTTACATGGTATCAGAGCGACCTATCCGCACACGCGGATCAAGGTCCTAATCTCAACGTGCCCGCGCTACGCGCACTTCATCGTCGCGACATTCGTTTCGAGTCGTCGGAATTTCGACGTGCTCCACTCTGCAGTCGCGCCTCTCATCGTCGACCGTCTTCGCGCTCGACCTCGTTGAATTTCTCATCTCTGAAGCTTTCACGCTTCTCATCGTCGATTTCCTCCTCGGTTCTCCTTGGTCGAATCTCAATTTCGACCATCTCTTAAAACTCGTTCTCGAGTTTCCCCTCAGACCCCGCCAGAATAGGCGAACTCCCCTCGCAAAATCGCCTCCACGAACGTCTCGCGTCAAATCAAGAGCAGGTACACAGGTTGAAGCGGAGCGGAGCTGGTTGCGGAGCTGGTTGCGGAGCTGGTTGCGGAGCTGTCTAGCTGCGGGACAGGGCCTGGGGTTGTGTGGGGGGGTGTGTGGGTCCGGGGTTAGACATAGCAGATTCAGTTTCAAGTCGGCGTTTTAACGAATTCTCGCCGACGCCATTTCCTACTTAGCGGCATTTTGATACAGCCGTCAGAGTGATTTTCAGCAATTCTCGTCGACCAATTTCCAGAAGTGCCGCGCTGCACACCGACAATGGCTTACTCAACCACTTCACTCGCCAACCCGATCCCGCTCCTTCGTCTCGAGCCGGACGGCACATGCTCCAACTACAAGGCTTGGCGCTATGGTGTCGACAAGCACCTCCTCAGTCGCGAGGTGAAGGGGCTCGAGCTCACCGACGTCCTTCTCAACATCGGTGACGGCAAAGAGCCTCCTAAACCCGAGAGGTCCGCCGATCCAGCTAATGCCGCCGCCGAAGCAGTTTATGCTGCTGCACTGCTCAAGTACAAGAATTGGGAGAAGGCCGATGGTGTGGTCATTAGTGTCTTCATGGGCACCACTCCTCCCGAACTCGTCGAAACCTACCACAACTACCCGTCTGCCAACGCCATTTGGCTCTACCTCGAGGATCGCTTCCTGAACAAAACTGCAGTGGGAGTTGCTATACTCATCCCCAGCATGTTCCAAGTGCGGCTCGAGGACTCGCCAGGCATGGCGGACTATGTTCCCAAGGTGCAGTCCATTCATGGTGAACTCAAACAGTTGGGGATAGTCTTCCCCGAGCAAGCCCCTGCAGCCGCTCTCCTAGTCGGCCTCACTCCGGCATATGAAGTCACACGCAAGATGCTCTTGGGCCTTGCTCCTGCAGATCTCACATTTGCCAAGGTCTCATCCGCGCTCCTTTCTGCCGAAAAGGACAACAGCGCTCAAGCCAAGGCCAATGCAATCCGCGCTCCCGTGCCTCAAGCCTATGCCGCTTCGGTGCCATTCCAGCGCAACCGCTTCCCCCCGTGTCCCTACGTCATCAAGCGCGGCCCTCGTGCTGGCCAGGTGTGTGGCGGCACCAACCACGCCCTTGCCTCCTGCTTTAAGAAGAGGGATGACGAGTGGTATGCCGTCAATGGGACCGCCTCCAAGCCGCCAAGCTGGATGGTCAATCGTGCTCCTCGCCAAGTCAATCAAGTCGAAGCGCAGGAATCCGTGCAGGCTGCTGTGGCTGCACCTGCTGATGTGCGCCTCAACATGTTCATTTGCACGTCATCCTGTCGTCTGTTCGCATCATTTCGTTTGCATGTGTTTTGTGTGTTACGTTGTTTGTATGGTTTGTTGGGTTTGCATGTCTTTGCATGTTCATCTTGTGCTTGTGCAGATGTGCTTGGATTGTGCATGACATCGAGCACATTCCAACGAGCCAAGAATTGTTGGAATCGGAGCACATATGAAGAAGTTACGAAGAAATGTTTGATGGATTTGTTACAACTCATTGGAAGTCCTTGTCAGCTGTGGGACAGCTGGCTCGAGTAGTGCAAAATCCAACAGAAGAGCAGTGTGGTGCAGCGGAGAGAGTGGTGCGCTACCTCAAGTCATACCCTACAGTGGGAGTACAGTATTCAGCCTCTGCTCAACTCAGTCAAAAAGGAATTGAAGTCGTCAAAGAGAAGGGGGAGCAGCTCGGAGAAGGAAAGGTGTTCCTTTCCTGTTTTGCTGATGCCACGTGGGCTTCTGAGCATGAGGATTCATCATCAGTTGGTGGATACATCTGCATGGTGGGAGGTGGGCCTGTAAGTTGGAGGTCCAAGAAGCAGTCTGAGACGGCACTATCTTCAGTGGAATCTGAGTACATGGCGATGTTTCATGCGGCAAAAGAAATCATCTGGCTAAGGAGGCTCTTGAAGGAGATCGGCCATGAACAGACTTGTGCGACACCTCTGTTCAGTGATAGCAAGGGAGCCATTGCCATGGCACGCAATGCAGTTGTTCATGGGTTGAACAAGCACATGAGGATCAAGTGGCATTGGCTGCGGAAGGAGGTGAAGCTTGGGACACTGGATCCGATCTACGTGAAAACTCAGCAACAGCCAGCCGACTTCCTTACCAAGCGGCTAGCTGAAGAGCCACACTGGCGCTGTGCGAGGATGGCGGGAATGTCCTTGAACTAGAGACGGCGAAACAAGCCGACAGTCTGAGGGGGAGTGTGTTGGTGCATATTCATTTGCACGTCATCCTGTCGTCTGTTCGCATCATTTCGTTTGCATGTGTTTTGTGTGCTACGTTGTTTGTATGGTTTGTTGGGTTTGCATGTCTTTGCATGTTCATCTTGTGCTTGTGCACATGTGCTTGGATTGTGCATGACATCGAGCACATTCCAACGAGCCAAGAATTGTTGGAATCGGAGCACATATGAAGAAGTTACGAAGAAATGTTTGATGGATTTGTTACAACTCATTGGAAGTCCTTGTCAGCTGCTAGACCAAAGTTGGAGAGCCCTATAACGAGGAGGGACCAGCATGTGTGGGACTTTTGTCCCCACCTTGCAGCTGCAGCATTTGGGGTTTGGAGGCCAACCTGGCACAGTGTGAATTTTGTCTTGCCAGGCTGGCTGAACCTGAGGATGGGGAGTCAAAACTTTGACTCTTGTCATGTTCTTGACCATGGGCCTCCAGGGTCCTTCCCTTTCATCCTTCCCTTCCTACCCCACCTTCCAACTGTGCTTCAATGCCTTTTCTATCATGCCTCTGATCTTGTAAGCTTCAATCATAGTGACTCTGAGGACTGTCAACTTCTCCTAGGGCAGATTACCCCCCAGTGCGCCAAACGCCATAGCTCACTCGTTAAGCTACGAAATCGAGTGATTCAACTTTCAGTGGAAAGCTGACGCTGCCAGCGACAACATATCCGATTTTCAGATCGTTTCACTTATTGGAGTTTTGGATATAGCTATTCGAAGGTCGCGAGTTTTCTGGGCGTCATAACGAAGTGCTGCAGAAATTTCCAAGGAGCCATTGAATCATCTGCTTATAGCCTTCTCTAACCAACAAGTGGTATCAGAGCCTATTATCACGCATTTGGGACCTAAAATACGATGGGAGATAAGGAGGACTCTGGTGGAGGTGATACTTCAGTCGAAGGAGGCAGCTCAACCCAAGATTCTGGCATTGCAGCGCAAAGGGGAGCGCGTACAAGCCAGGGGTCACTGCTTAAGGAGGTGCTGAAGAACTTCACCATTGAGAAGTTCTCTGGAGATGGCTATGATGATTGGGCATGGAAGATGCAGCTCTACTTTCGACAAATTGGCCTCTTGAAGCTCATGATTGGAATGGAGCCAAGGCCAAAGGAAATGGCAGAGCAAGCGGACTGGGATGAACGTTCATCTGCTGGGTATTATCTACTGTCACAAAGCTTGGAGCTGAACCAGAGGCATCACATCATGCATCTGCTACCGGAAATTGATTGTGGGCCCAAGGCATGGGCAGTGCTCAAGGACCTGCATGCTCCGACATCCGTTGCCGCTTCTCTCATGCTGGATCGGGAGCTGTCCATGCTGCGGTTGAGCGAGAATGAACCTGTGCAGCCCGTACTGGACAAGATGAGGGAACTCTACGCGAAATTGGCGATTGCAGGCATCACGTACCCTGAGCAGACAAAGTGTCTCAAGATGCTCAGCCTGCTGCCGGAGTCTTGGCTGCAATTTATAAGCGGACTCAGCTTGCCACAAAACCAAAGTCAATGGACATTGGAGTGGATTCGCACCAAGATTCTGGAAGAAGATTTTTGTCGCTATACACTGCGCGGAGGTGATGACAGCACCAGCGGCTATGCCATGCAAGGGACATGGAGGGATCGAGGGCGTGGCAATCGCGGTCGCTCTTACCACAGCCAAGGTGGTCGCGGGACTTGGAACCAGCAGGGGCGTGGTGGCGCTGGTGCAAGAGGAAGAGGTGGTCACTCCAACAATGACAACAGTGAACCACGCTTGAGGGGAGAGTGCTGGTATTGCAAGGAAGAAGGGCATCCATGGTTTCGCTGCCCTACCAAGCCCGACTGGTGGACCCCTTGGAACCAATCGCAGAAGGGGAATGGAGGAAAGCAACCACATGGAGGTGCCAACATGGTAGCTGATCCTGCTGAAGAAACCTCCAAGGATGACAGAGGAATGGGAAATGAGGAGAGGAATGCTGGACAGTTCTACCATGTGTGTGACAAAGATGACAGTGGCACAGCTGTTGCAAGGGCTGGAGAGGAATTGCACCCGCTTGACATGTGGGTCATGGACTCTGGTGCTGCATGGACAATGACACCACGCAAGGACTTGCTGGATGCTGTGCGAGCGCCTCCAATCTCTGAAGTGCGCTCAGCATCCGGACATGCAGTGAAGGTCGCTGGAGTTGGTCGAGCTGCATTCAGAGCACCTGATGGTGGACTGGTTGTGCTGAAGGACGTGTTACTCGTACCGGGGCTGAAGGCCAATCTGATATCGCTGCGCAAGCTAGGCCAGGCCGGAGTCAGCACCACCACCAATGGATCCAAAACATTCAAGGGGCTGCGAGGAGATCGTGTGTTATGGGATTTACACGAAAGCAGAGATGTCTTCAGATCCATGTGGCAGATCCCTGCACTGATATGGGAATCAACAAAGAAGGAGTTGGTAGAAGTAAAGGCGGGTTCTGGAGTCCAGGGGGAGTGTAATGCAGTTAGTGCTGCAGGAGTGACGGTTTCTGCAAGGTCGGGGGAGACTGATTGGGAAACCGCACACAGGCGTCTAGGGCATGTGGCTATGCCATTGCTGCAGCAACTGCATAAGGAAGAAGCAGTAAAGGGGCTCAAGCTTTCTGGGCAACCAAATGATACCAAGTGCGAGACATGTCTGCTGAGCAAGTTCACACGGTTCCCCTTTCACGGCGTAGCTGGGAAAAGCAAGGCAGCACTGGAACTGGTGCATATGGACCTCGTAGGACCTTTTCCATTCCGAGGAAGTAAGGGGGAAAGGTACTTCCTGACAATAGTTGATGACTGGAGTCGGCTGATGTGGGCATACCCGTTGAAGCAGAAGGATCATGCTGCCTCAACAATACGAGATGATTGGCTGCCGTTCGTCGAGCGACAATCTGGGCACCCATGCAAGAGCATCAGAACCGACCGAGGTGGAGAGTTTCTAGGAGGAGATCTGACTGCGTGGCTCAAGAAACAAGGCATTGAGCATCAGCTAACGACGTCCTATACCCCTCAGTCAAATGGCGTTGCTGAGAGGGCTAATAGGACCATCCTGGAAACTGCGCGAGCGCTGCTGATCGAATCAGGGCTGGGGAACTCCATGTGGCCTCATGCGGTGAGGCATGCTACAGTGGCAAGGAACCGCGTACTCACAAAGGTGGCTGATGATATGTGGGTGCCGCTGGAGAGGTGGCTTGGAAAGAAGCCTCCAGTGGACATGCTTCGAGTGTTCGGATGCATGGCAGTGGCGCATGTCCCTAAACCGTACAGGACAAAGCTTGGAGCATCTGCACTTTGGTGTGTGCACCTTGGGCTCGCGGCAGAGAGCAAGGGGTGGCTACTCTGGGAGCCCTCAAAGAATGTGCTGTTTGACAGTCGGGATGTCAAATTTGTGGAGAACATCATGTATGGCAAGTGGGAGAAGCAGCCGGAGGCAAGGGTCACCCAGCAGCTGGAAGAGATCACTATGCACTTCGATCTGTCCGAACCTGCGGACAGCGAAGTCACTGCGCCAACGGCAAGCGGTACTGATGAAGGAAGCAATGAGGATATTGCAGCTGATGCTGAAGTCAATGATCCGGAGCAGCAGCAGCAAGAGGCTTCCAAAACACCAAGTCTGCCAAAGCGAAGGAAACAGATTGGTGGGGGGACAAAGGATTGGGTGAAGGTGAAAGAATGGGTAAATCCAACCATCTACCCTGCACGTACCAGCATGGCAACGAGAAAGCTGTTGAGCTCCACAAGTGGAGGAGCCACAACTGAGCAGCAGGAACAGGCTCAAGGCGAAGATGCAGTGCTGTTCTTGGGTGATGACCAAGAGTCAGATGACGAGGAGCCTGCATACTGCTTTTACGCACCAATACAACCTCCGAGCATGGATCATGCGCTAGCCGGGCCTCAACGGGGGAAGTGGCTCGTTTCAAGAGATGCAGAGTACAACAGCCAGATGGAGAATCACACATGGGACCTGGTGTACTTGCCAAATGGGAAGAAGGCAATACAGTGCAAGTGGCTGGCAAAAATCAAGACGGATGAGAAAGGAGAGCCATCAGTTTACAAGAGCAGGCTGGTGGCAAAGGGGTTTCAGCAGAAAGAGAAGGAAGATTACAAAGAAGTGTTTGCCCCAACTGCTAAGTCTCCAACGCTACGTGTGCTGCTGGCGGTAGCTGCTGTGCGCAAATGGAAGGTGAAGCAGATGGACATCGTAACCGCTTTTCTGTACGGCATTGTGGAAGAGGAGGTGTACATGGTTCAACCACCTGGCTATGAGGATGGAACCGGTCGTGTCTGCAAACTTAACAAGGCCATCTATGGCTTGAAGCAGGCCCCGAGATGCTGGTACAACAGGCTGGCCAGTGCACTGGAAGGGATTGGATTCCGTGCGAGTGCATGCGACGAGAGCCTGTTCCTGATGGGAGAGGGGGAGTCACTTGTGCTTCTGCTGGTGTACGTGGATGACATCCTGCTCTTCAGCAGCAGTGACAAGGAGATCGATGGGGTGCAGCGGAAGCTCACAGAGCAGTTCAAGTGCAAGTCACTTGGACAGGCAAGGTACTACCTGGGAATGCATATTGAGCGGGATACTGAACGTGGCTGGCTCAAACTGCATCAGGGACAATACATCAACACCTTGGCTGAGAAGTACTCTCTGCAGGAAGAACGGGAAGTGGTCACACCTTTGCCTTCCGAGTTCAAACTCATAAAGGCAGCTGAAGGAGAAGGAGTTGAGAGTGAAGACCAGAGGCAATTCCAATCCATGGTCGGGAGCCTACTCTACGCTGCTGTGCATACTCGGCCTGACATCAGCTTTGCTGTGGGACAGCTGGCTCGAGTAGTGCAAAATCCAACAGAAGAGCAGTGTGGTGCAGCGGAGAGAGTGGTGCGCTACCTCAAGTCATACCCTACAGTGGGAGTACAGTATTCAGCCTCTGCTCAACTCAGTCAAAAAGGAATTGAAGTCGTCAAAGAGAAGGGGGAGCAGCTCGGAGAAGGAAAGGTGTTCCTTTCCTGTTTTGCTGATGCCACGTGGGCTTCTGAGCATGAGGATTCATCATCAGTTCGTGGATACATCTGCATGGTGGGAGGTGGGCCTGTAAGTTGGAGGTCCAAGAAGCAGTCTGAGACGGCACTATCTTCAGTGGAATCTGAGTACATGGCGATGTTTCATGCGGCAAAAGAAATCATCTGGCTAAGGAGGCTCTTGAAGGAGATCGGCCATGAACAGACTTGTGCGACACCTCTGTTCAGTGATAGCAAGGGAGCCATTGCCATGGCACGCAATGCAGTTGTTCATGGGTTGAACAAGCACATGAGGATCAAGTGGCATTGGCTGCGGAAGGAGGTGAAGCTTGGGACACTGGATCCGATCTACGTGAAAACTCAGCAACAGCCAGCCGACTTCCTTACCAAGCGGCTAGCTGAAGAGCCACACTGGCGCTGTGTGAGGATGGCGGGAATGTCCTTGAACTAGAGACGGCGAAACAAGCCGACAGTCTGAGGGGGAGTGTGTTGGTGCATATTCATTTGCACGTCATCCTGTCGTCTGTTCGCATCATTTCGTTTGCATGTGTTTTGTGTGCTACGTTGTTTGTATGGTTTGTTGGGTTTGCATGTCTTTGCATGTTCATCTTGTGCTTGTGCAGATGTGCTTGGATTGTGCATGACATCGAGCACATTCCAACGAGCCAAGAATTGTTGGAATCGGAGCACATATGAAGAAGTTACGAAGAAATGTTTGATGGATTTGTTACAACTCATTGGAAGTCCTTGTCAGCTGCTAGACCAAAGTTGGAGAGCCCTATAACGAGGAGGGACCAGCATGTGTGGGACTTTTGTCCCCACCTTGCAGCTGCAGCATTTGGGGTTTGGAGGCCAACCTGGCACAGTGTGAATTTTGTCTTGCCAGGCTGGCTGAACCTGAGGATGGGGAGTCAAAACTTTGACTCTTGTCATGTTCTTGACCATGGGCCTCCAGGGTCCTTCTCTTTCATCCTTCCCTTCCTACCCCACCTTCCAACTGTGCTTCAATGCCTTTTCTATCATGCCTCTGATCTTGTAAGCTTCAATCATAGTGACTCTGAGGACTGTCAACTTCTCCTAGGGCAGATTACCCCCCAGTGCGCCAAACGCCATAGCTCACTCGTTAAGCTACGGAATCGAGTGATTCAACTTTCAGTGGAAAGCTGACGCTGCCAGCGACAACATATCCGATTTTCAGATCGTTTCACCGATTGGAGTTTTGGATATAGCTATTCGAAGGTCGCGAGTTTTCTGGGCGTCATAACGAAGTGCTGCAGAAATTTCCAAGGAGCCATTGAATCATCTGCTTATAGCCTTCTCTAACCAACAGTTAGTGTCCTCTCTCGGTACGTCTCCCCCGGACGCTACACTGCCTCGCATTGGTCTGCAGCCAAGAGGGTCCTCTGCTATCTACAAGCCACCAAGTCTCACATCCTCACTCTTGGTGGTACCTCTCCAGTCAAGCTCGAGGGATACACAGACTCCTCATGGGCCGATGACCAGACTGACAGACGCTCCTCCCAAGGGTACTGCTTCACCCTTGGTAGCGGAGTCATCAGCTGGCGCTCCACTCGGTCCTCTGCAGTTTCCCTGTCGTCCTGCGAGGCCGAGCTCTACGCGGGCACAATGGCTGCTCAAGAGGCACGCTGGCTCTCCTTTCTCCTCGCTGAGTTAGGCTACCCCCAGCAGTCGCCCACCCTGTGGTGTGACAATCAGAGCGCCATTCACTTCACCAAGGATCCTGTGTTCCACTCTCGCACCAAGCACATCGAACTTCGTCATTTCTTCATCCGAGATCTTGTTCAGAGTGACCAGCTGACGGTACGGTACATCGCCTCAGATTGCAACCTCGCCGACCTCTTTACCAAGGCTCTCGGCAAGGCTGACCACCATCGTCTTCTCCGTTCCATGGGGCTATGTGCTCCTTGACCGGGTTTGCAGTCTATGGGGGTGTGTTAGAAATAGAATGCAAATACCATTCTTGTATTTGTACTTTTATATCCTAGTTTAGGTTATGAATGTTCTAGTGGGTTGGGGTGTACTCACAAATCCCAACCTCACCCAATTGTGATCCCCCCAATCTCCAATTACCCAATTGGAGATTCCGGAGATCCCAATGGGGATTCCCTCCAATTCCCCCTTCATCCATTCATTCTCACCTTGCCATGTACTTATAGAGCCTTGGGCTCCTTACCTAATCAATCATTTCAACTCTATTTCTTACACACTCCCACTATAGCATCAGCTTACGGCCCCTCCGATTCCTTCGCCTGATGCCTGCAATGACCCGTACCCTAAGCTAGTTGGTTCACTCATGTATGCCATGATGTGCACTCGACCAGACTGTTAGTGTCCTCTCTCGATATGTTTCCCCTTGAAGCTAAACTGGTTCCCATTCGTCTATTGCCAAGAGGGTCCTGCGCTATCTACTAGCCACCAAGTCTCACAACTTTACTCTCGGTGGTACCTCTCCAGTCAAGCTCGAGGGATATTCATATTCCTCATGGGCCGATGACCAGACTGACAGACGCTCCTCCCAAGGGTAATGCTTCACTCTTGGTAGCGGATTTATCAGCTGGCGCTCCACTCGGTCCTCTGCAGTCTCCTTGTCATCCTGCGAGGCCGAGCTCTACGCAGGCACAATGGCTGCTCAAGAGGCACGCTGGTTCTCCTTTCTCCTCGCTGAGTTAGGCTACCCCCAGCAGTCGCCCACCCTGTGGTGTGATAACAAGAGCGCCATTCACCTCACCAAGGATCATGTGTTCCACTCTCGCACCAAACATATCAAACTTCGTCATTTCTTCGTCCGAGATTTTGTTTAGAGTGACCAATTGACGGTATGGTACATTGCCTCGGATTGCAACCTCGCCAACCTCTTTACCAAGGCTCTCGGCAAGGCTGACCACTATCGCCTTTTCTGTTCCATGGGGCTATGTGCTCCTTGACGAGGTTTGCAGTCTTTGGGGGTGTATTTGATATAGATTGCAAATCGCACTTTTGTATTTGTATTTTTATATCCTTGTTTAGGTTAGGAATGTTCTAGTGGGTTGGGGTTTACTCACAAAATCCCAACCTCACCCAATTGTGATCTCCCTAATCTCCAATTACGCAATTGGAGATTCTGGAGATCCCTGTGGGGATTCCCTTCGATTCTCCCTTCATCCATTCTCTCTCACCTTGCCATATCCTTTTAGAGCCTTGTTCTCCTTATCTTATCAATATTTTCAGCTCTATTTCTTACACATGACGTGCCATAGAAAATCATGATATCCTGGGTATGCTATTTTGGGTTCAATTATGGAACTATTTTGGAAATATGGCACTATGGAAACTCTGGTCGATCACGACATCCAGACGGACCTCTGCACAAGGGACAAAGAACCAAAAGAGGAAAGGGGGTATGTGTTTCCATCGGTGAAACATATTCAAGGTGTCAGGTTTCCCCAAGTATTAAAACAGTATCCATTTCGCATATATACTAGCCAAGTACAAAGGCACCCTTATTGGGACTTGGGGCCAAGTCGCTGAAGGCACAACAAATGCTAATAAAATACAAGGCTCAATGAATGCGGGAAAAATGCACGCTTCCTTTGAAGACTGGAGGATGCGTGTAGTGAGGTGCCAACGAAGAAGGCATGACTACGATGGGACGAGGGAGGAGATGAGAACAGTAGCCGGTTTTGATATGGTTCAAAGTATCTGTAGACTTATTTAGGCCGATGCACGGTAGCTAAAATTTTACAGCTGTGGGGATGAAACATGCATTGGTGTAGAGGCACTAGGGTGAATGAGGGGTGGAGAGTGCAGAGAAGCACGGCATGAATGGATAAATGTGCACGACATGCCCCTGAGGAACCCAATAGTGTGATGGACCTCTAATAGCCCGACCTTGGCTCCATCGAGCTCATTGATGTTGAGTGTTGCCTTCCATCCAGGGGGAACGGTCTTTGTGTCCTCCCTCTTAAGGGCAAAGGGTGTGGCATACTAGCTAGCCTGCCAACGATGGTGCGGGGGAAGAGAGAATGGTACTTCACACATTCAGTGCATCTTGGCGGATTGTTGGTTGACATGGTTTTGAGCCAATTGAGTTATGAATTCAGAGCTCACCCAGCTGGCATACTCATATTGTCACTAGCCACCAATGGGGTGGATGGCACGAGCCCTCTGCATGCGATCTGAGCAACCCGGACAAAGCATCATTCCCAGTTTGTGGAACAACATGAGGGGAGGGGGGGAGGGGGAGTCTTCTAGTTTTAGATACAAGACCAATACGAATAGTGGCGATTTGGGCCAATGTTGGTCACACTCGCACGGCATGAGCGACGGTCCAAACCGTGTGTAAGAATAGAGCTGAAAGCATTGATTAGGTAAGGAGCCCAAGGCTCTATAAGTACATGGCAAGGTGAGAGAGAATGGATGAAGGGGGAATCGGATGGAATCCCCATTGGGATCTCCGGAATCTCCAATTGGGTAATTGGAGATTGGGGAGATCACAATTGGGTGAGGTTGGGATTTATGAGTACACCCCTGTTGGTTGGAGAAGGCTACGAGTAGAATATTTGACAGCTATACCATTTGGCGCACTGGGGGGTAATCTGCCTTAGGAGAAGTTGACAGTCTTCAGAGTCACAAATATTGAAGGTTACAAGTTCAAAGACATAATGGCAAACATTGAAGCACAGTTTTGGAAGGTGGGGTAGGAAGGGAAGGATGAAAGGGAAGGACCCTGAAGGCCTTTGGTCAAGAACATAACAAGAGTCAATTTCTTGACTCCCCATCCTCAGGTTCAACCAGCCTGGCAAGACAAAATTCACACTGTGCCAGGTTGGCCTCCAACCCCCAAATGCTGCAGCTGCAAGGTGAGGACAAAAGTCCCACACATGCTGGTCCCTCCTCGTTATAGGGCTCTCCAACTTTGGTCTAGCAGCTGCCAAGGACTTCCAATGAGTTGTAACAAATCCATCAAACACTTCTTCGTAACTTCTTCATATGTGCTCCGATTCCAACAATTCTTGGCTCGTTGGAATGTGCTCAATGTCATGCACAATCCAAGAGCATCTGCACAAGCACAAGATGAACATGCAAACCCAACAAACCATACAAACAACATAGCACACGAAACACATGCAAACGAAATGATGCGAACAGACAACAGGATGACGTGCAAATGATGAAGGGGGAATTGGATGGAATCCCAATTGGGATCTCCAGAATCTCCAATTGGATAATTGGAGATTCGGCAGATCACAATTGGGTGAGGTTGGGATTTGTGAGTACACCCCAACCCACTATAACATTCCTAACCTAAACTAGGATATAGAAGTACAAATACAAAAGTGGGATTTGCAATCTATTTCTAACACACCCCCATAGACTGCAAACCCGGACAAGGAGCGCATAGCCCCATGGAACGGAGAAGGCTATGGTGGTCAGCCTTGCCGAGGGCCTTGGTAAAGAGGTCGGCAAGGTTGCAATATGAGGCGATGTACCGTACTGCCAGCTGGTCACTCTGAGGACCGAGTGGAATGCCAGCTGATGACTCCGCTACCAAGGGTGAAGCAGTACCCTTGGGAGGAGCGTCTGTCAGTCTGGTCATCGGCCCATGAGGAGTCTGTGTATCCCTCGAGCTTGACTGGAGAGGTACCACCGAGAGTGAGGATGTGAGACTTGGTGGCTTGTAGATTGCGGAGGACCCTCTTGGCTGCAGACCAATGCGAGGCAGTGTAGCGTCCGGGGGAGAAGTACCGAGAGAGGACACTAACTGGGTAAGCCAAGTCAGGTCGAGTGCACATCATGGCACACATAAGTGAACCGACTAGCTCAGGGTACAGGTCCTTGCAGGCGTCAAGAGAAGGAATTGGAGGGGTCGTGAGCTGATGCTGTAGTGGGAATGGAGTGGAGACAGAGTTACAGGAGTCCATGTCAAAGTGCTTGAGAAGGTTGTTGATGTAGGACTCTTGGGAGAGGGTGATTGTGAGAGTACGATCCCGTTCCATTGCTTCCTCCTTTCCATAAACCTTTGGTTTATCCTGTTATTATCATTATATCACTGACCAGGCTCGGGGTGTACTGGCGTGCTATATCTAGCGTAATCCTGCCGTGATCCCTTAAAGCCAATAGCCTCGCGTGGCTATACGCAGGGTGATTCTATTTTCTAGAAGGGTCTATTCCCTTGGGATAGGATAGACCTGGTTACTGATGTACCTTGGAAGTATACAAGCGCCTTGTACTGATCGATAGTGTAACCTTTCCTCGACACATTCGATCCTGTGACACTTGGTAATCAGAGCTTTTCTCACTCGGCCGTGCTCAGCTAAGCAGCAGCAGCAGGACTCCTGCCTCGAAAAACCGCCGGGGGCGACTAATTCGACGCCGATTCTAGTAAGCACCACCTTCGCATTTTTTCGAATCACCCCCTCCGCGCATGTTCTGAACAGGATGGTGAACTTCGACAACATCAAAGTTACTCAGCAGCTCTTCGAAAGCACCTCCGCCCTACAGGAGGAGATGCGAGCCAACCTCGAAGCTTGGCGAAACGAGTTCGAGCGAGTAACTCGACTCGCCAACGCGCAACACGAAACGACTACGGTGACGACGTTTCTCGAGGCTCTGAAACCACACCCACCTTAGCCGTTCGATCCGAGCGATCGAGATTCCGATGTCCGGAGATGGATCGCCGGCATGGAGATCTACTTCGCAGCCGTCGGATGGAGCTCGCCAGTCTGGGACGGTCAACGCGTACGACTCGCGGCGACACTGATGTGGGGACCGGCACTTGAGTGGATCGGCGGTAACAGCACCTTCATCCACGGCGAAGCCACGTGGCAGCAGTTCCGCACCGACCTGCTGAAACGTTTCAAGCCGATAAATTCGGGTTTCCTCGCCCGGGAAAAAAATCATCGCCATCGACAGTTCGGGAGTGTAGCACAGTACACGCAGCAGATGGAAGATTTTTTTAACCGCATTCATGACCTGAACGAAGGGGAAAAACTACAGTCGTACCTCGCTGGGCTCAAGACCAAAGTCAAACAACAGGTAGCAGCGACAAACTACGCGACCTACAGTGACATCGTATCGGCAGCGGAACGCTTCAACATGGTCAACGTCGGAACACGACGGGCGCACGTTGGCAGTACACGACAGGGCGACCGCTCGGCTCACCCCACGTTCGCCA